ATTTTGTGGGTTTTTTTAAGTTTAATTTAAGTGTATGTATTGTATTATATTTATTTGTTTTTTATATATATATAATTTTTTATATATATGGGCAATATGTTAATTTTATTGTATTTTTTCTACTGACGTTTCCTAATACGCTATTAAACGATTAAAATCTGTTTCATAATGAACTTCATTATGATACAGATTTTTCAGCCACTGGAATCGAGTTATTTTGAACATGAACAATGTTTATATAAAAATAAGAGACTTGTTTTGGATTTTTTCGTGTAATATGTAAACTTGTCAATATTTTGACTGATAAACACGAGTAGCACCAGTATTTCGTATACTCTGCACACAAAAAGTCGCAAAAAAATTCATCTTTCAACGCTCATATCTCAAAGACCATAATACCTACAAGATTTCGTTCCATTTAAAAGTTGTTAAGAATCAAATCCTCTACAACCTATCAAAAAATAGGCCAAATCCATAGAGCCCAAAAATCCCATGTTAGGTGTGCGTTATCCTTTCACTCGTCCTACGGACTCGTGAAATTATAGAAAACACGCAATCGTGAAAAATTATCAGTAATTTTGAAGCTCTCGTGGTATTATCCCCAATAATACCTTTAAAATATTGGAATTTGGTTGAAATTTACGGGGGCCTATTTTCAATGGTAACTGTGCCTTCTTTCAAATTTCGCAAATCTTAGTACATAATAGTTTATTCAAAACGTTATCTAGTTGTTATTTTCTAGTAATTTATGTATAAAAAATATAATTCGTATGCCGGGCAATATGTTAATAACTTACGAAGCTAGCAGTTTTGCAGTTTCGAGTTTCGGGATGCGACACAACGTCGTTTCTCTTTAGGTAACAAAAGTCAGAAGGCATGCCTGTCTGTCTTCAGGAAGAATCCTCAATTGTTTCAAGCACTTACTACATTTTATGCAGAATATGCTTTGAAACCAAAAATTTTCAAAGTCGGTGCAGAGTTTTTACTCAAGTTATGCCAAAGTAATGGCAAAACTACCTACCTCAAGCCAAGCTTGAATGAACTTTATGTATCATAGAGTCACTTCAATAGGCAGGCATAGTCTCAGCTCAGTTAAATTTATTCGTGCTGCCTCCTACAGAAAAAGCCGGAGAACAACATCTACTGAGAATTTATCATCAGGTAAATCCTAAATCAGTAAAAAGCATTTAAAAATTAATAACTTATTTAGTTTAAATTTTGAATAATAAAGTTCAAGAATGGCTGGGTAATCGTCTGGATGCTGCAGCATGGGTCTGGATAAAAAGGGGCAGTGGTGACCTAATTCAAAACAAAACGAAACAAGAAATAGCACCAAGCACCACTAAATTTGGGTTATCAACTTTTTTGTAACTGCAAATAGAGTGCATGTGGACGTAATTGTTTATGTAAAAATTTGAGCATTAGGTATTCCCCAAAGTCTGGCCATTGCTATGGATTTACTTGTACCAATGCTATATTTGAAATAGACGAGGAGAAAATTATTCACTTTTTATAGGTTTTTTTATCCAATCACCTGATATTAAGCTTTTTTGTTTTTGAAACACAAAATATGTGAATCAAACACTTTGCAAATCAAAATCTTTTGTAGGTACCTTATCATTTCAAAATTGTGTAACTTTTTTTATTTTCTAAGCTACAAAGTGGTATTATATACCAAAATATGCGCCTTTTGAAACCCTGTAAATAAAGTATCTACACAATTTTTCCAAAATGCATCAATAAAAAAGTTATTCAGTAAAAATCTAAAAATAAAAATGGCGGATTTCTTTTTTCAGATTTGTCATGCTGGGATATGATTGGACTTTTAGTATGTTGAATAGGACCCTTTTTCCTACACATCAAAAAAAATAGCTTGTCTCTAATTTGTTCTACCCCCAACCGCATATTGCCTGTACTAATTGGTAATGGAATAACTTGAATTGAAGGCAATGATGGAATTATGCTAATAAGGTTAGGATCTGCAAAATATGTCGAATTCTAACTACTTTGATTTAAACCGAAAGACGTGACAATATAATAAATCTAATAGATATTGCACTCACCTCGGGTATTTAAATGACAGACACAGTAATAAAACATATGCAACACAATCCAAACGAGTTAGCAAATAGCATCTGAAAACAAAACTCTTCAACGTTATCAGCAAATTTAATAAAACCTTGCAACAAATGTACTGTGATGACAAATGTTTGGAATCAAAGATCAATCAAATCGCCATGACGGTTCAAGGCTCTACTTATAGGAGAAATTCACTAATAATTATCATATATGTCTTGTTATAGTTATGCAATAATTGAATACGTTTTGCAGGATTTGGAGAATTCAATAATATTGCAAAAATAAAAGTCATTAATCCCAGTATAGGTACCCAATCAAAATTAGGGATCTCAAATAAAGAACTTTTCATTAAGCAAGAAAAGGTAGAAACGAACCAGATGATTTTACCAATTTTTCTAGAAAATTCTTTAAAATTAATCAATGTCGATTGCTTTATTCAACAATGATAATAATATTATATTATTCAACGAGCAGGTAATGATGGCTATTAGGTACTCACGAAGGATAAAGTTTGCACTACGAGCCGCAGGCGAGTAGTTTAATCATCCGAGTTGAGGAAAACCACCTATTTGAAATATTATTTCTTCGAATCTTAACTTTTTAAAACGTCTACTATAGAAAAAACGGTAAATGTTCCTACTCTGTATGCGCTGGCAAGTAGGGGCGAGCGTAGACGCACCACATAAAAAGGTACCGAAGGGGGGATAGGAAATGAGAGACGCAGCTAGTCCGCCATTGTTCATTATTCAGTTTTTATTTTGTATTTAATTGGATTGTTCGTTCCAATTTGTGATTAGTTTGTGTGTCATAAGGAGCATTCACAGGTCAGTTGAATAATTGTTATTTTGTTTTTGAGAGTTCAATTTATACAAGTGTTATTTTTTTATTTTTATGTTTTTTTGTTTGTTTATAACATTTCTTATAACATGTGCATTGTCCATGTATTCAACAAAAATCGTTTCGTACTGTAAACAACGCAGATAGAAAGTAAATTAAAACCTAAGAAATTATGTGCTGTCTTTAGTGCTGGGATTTTGATTTTTGGCATTCAGAACGTACATTAGGGCCTTGTTGAATCTAAGGTCGGCTTCTCGAGGGTTCATACTTGTGTTATCGAACACATCATAACTTGAAAAAAAAGGGTTGTCGTAGATTAAATCATATGACACATTCAATTTTTTTGACAAATTAAAATGAATGACTTCTGACTTAAGAACCGACGAACGTTTTTGACGTTATTGATTTGTTTCAGTCAATTTCTATTTGTTAAAAAAGGAAGACAAATTTTGTCAAAAGTATGAACCCTCATGAAACAAAGTTTACTAACATTTTCCTACCCTGACGAGCGAATATCCTAGCAAATAAATTGAAAAATCAATCTAAAGATATTGGCTCAAAATAACAAATATAGCTGAGTAGCCTCCCGTACCCAGGGACCTCAGTACCTGCTGGTGGAACTGGCTAACTAACCAAAAACTCTTCGGTATTGAATATAGGTAGCGTTGATTGTATGTGGTGTGTGGAATTAAAATTTTAGCACAAGGACAACGGACGGACGGTACCTATGAATGACGTAGCTCAACAATCTCATCCGAATTCAGTGAATAGAGCGTTTGGTACATTTTGACTTTCACATGTTTATTTGGACATGAGAGAAAAAGAAACAGAAAGCTACCCAACCTCCACTACCCAGTCAAACCGCGGTATAGCATCTGACAGACCAAAGGGCCTACCAAAGTTGTTGTGACAGCATCATTCACCCATCCGAAATTGAATGGTACCTGTTTGACAGACCAAACTGGGGTACCAAACTGAGGCGAAATCGCCTTTAGTTTTCGTACCTAACAAAATTAATTGACCATTCTGACAGCTGGAGGACAAAGTGAGGTTAGGTTAGCACAAGTGTTGTCCAAATCAGCTGTCAAAATGACCGATTTGAAGGTTGAAGTATGTTATACAACTTGCCGAACTTTGTGATTGGCCCTTAAATAGTGGAGTAATGAGATTAGAATATTCTCATTGGTTGAAAACAATTAAGTAATAAAAAAAAAACTCACTGTATAAGTTATCACTCACATTGATCAATACAAAATAAATGTATATTACGCATATTATTCAATACTCACAGAAAAAATCAACTTCCTTCTTCGCATATTGTTCGTCGATTTTTAACTGATACTTGCGGTATGAGAAGCGAGGGGGTGTTTCATATGGCAAAAACAGGTGTGACGTCAGGTAACCATTGGCGTTCTAATGTAGGGAGCCACCAACTCACATTCCGTCCGAGTATCAGATTAAAATCGACGAACAATAGGTACCTGTTTCTTACCCACAGTTGTTCCACCGTGCGTATTTTCATTCATATACGAGCTGGTGTAGGGCTATTTCAACGCAAGATAATCATTTGATAAAAAAATTTATTGCATTATATGTACATACTACCATAAACCCTGCACAGAAGTAACCAGCAACCTTCACTTTTGTAAACAAGGCCCCGTTTTTTTAAGGCAGTAGATAATAGCTATTTGTATTACTATACCATACTAGTAATACAAATAATGAGCTGCATTAAACTAACGAAAAGGAAATATTACACGAGTGCTGCAATGAGCATTACCATATGTGTGATATACATACATACATCCACGACCTAGATTTTTGTATTTTTTTCTGCATTCAACATTGTTTTAATTCTTCACCACTCAGCCAAGCGGAAAGTAGAAATATTTCCTCAACAGTACTTCAAGCATCTACCACTGCAAGCACTTCTTTTAATATCCGAAAGGTTCAAATCACAGTCTAGGTGCTGTCATCATCCTTAATTAGTTTTCCTTGCATTTATAATTTAATTCAATAAATAATTTAAAGAGTGTTAATTTTACTGGCATGCAGACGCATAAATAAACTCTTACAGTCTGGGTCGTATATGAAAATGTTTATTAGTTTTTATAAAGGAAATTAACGTTTTGGCAAATAGCTTTCGAAGTATCAGGAAAAACAGGAGCATGGTTATGGCTCGAGACAATTTTGACAGTCGTTCCGTACGAAATCAGTCTTGACTTGCATTTACTTCTTTTGTACTGCGAACAAATCCACATTGTTTTGCCTTCCATTTTTCTGTTTACGACATAATCGTTATCGGCAACTATAAGTATTGGATTCTTTTTTCCCGGTAGAACATAGATTATTCCTAAAAATAAACGACATAAATACTTTAACATTGTTTAAATACTTTTATATTTAAAAAAAGTAACTTAACTTAAAATTTACTTGGAATAGATGAAACCCGCCATCAATTCACGTTGGAACGCCAGACCTTTATCCTCTATTTTAATGGATCCTAGGTTTAGCCCAAAAAGTCTTAAACAACTATAAAAAAAAATATATGCGTTTCAATGGCGTGATTACACCGCAGCCAATCTCGCGTATCCGGGGAACCTGGAACAACCTCTTATGTCGATCCGATACATCGGCAGTGATAATCGTAATTAATTAATTATTACTAAACTAAAATTCATTTATAAATCTCAATCGACTTACACTTACTCGATCGTCAGATAGGACACGATCTCTACCTCGATCAGATACAGATAATATATACAAATGTCAAAGATTCTAATAACGTGATTCCAACCTCGAAAAAAAAGGAAGAGAGGAAGATAATGTAAAACCATATTTAAAAGTATGGAAAACTCGACTATTACAAGTGGTTTTCTATCCATAGAAACGGAAAAATCTAAGAAATAATTTTGACAATATTGCCAATCTTTAAGAAGTGCCCCATTAAAAATTGTCACGCTGATATGAGAATATATCCAATGCATTTATATTATTCCTGAATTTTTGAAGGTTTTGATCAACATGAATTTTGTCCTGAATACAAATATTCAGAAAATAGAACACTCACATCTCTCACTATGGATACTGGCTATTGAAACCGGCCTCCTTGAATATTTCGATATCAGTGCAGCTCAAAAAAAAAAAAAACAATAACTGTTCAAATTATTGTTTATTTAGAGGAATGGAAGTAATGTGTATATACAATATAAAGAAAATTGAAGTAGAAGAACTTAGTACAACACGAAATTTTATTAATTAATTATATCATAGTACTGCGCATTCGGCTTTCCCCATGATGAGTACTACCTACATGAAATCAAAGATTAAGGTTATTAATGTAACTAAACTAAATTTCTCCTCTTTTCATTTAATAAGGGTCAGTAAAAGTCATGCAATTGGGCCGTTGCCATAAGGATCACAAACATAGAGACCGGATTTAAAGAAGTTTCAAAACAATCGTTAAATTCACATAAAATACTATAAAACGCTCTCAAGAACCATGGACGGATGAGATGATTATTGTGTAGGTACCCCGGTGGTCAGAAGGCAATTCTGACAAAGTCTCTTAGAATAGTATTATTGGGCCCAGATGAAATTTATTTAGCCAACCTATTTTTCTAAAAAAAAAATGCAGCAGCAAGATAATTTGTTTTTAGGTTATCGCAGCTTCTCCATTCTTTTCCATTTGGTTCCGATTTGGGCTCTTAAGATCCAGTTTTTTGAGAATCTATTGATATCATCAGTCCAAAAATCTGCTAAGGTTGTCTTCGTGTGTTCCTCATTTCAGCAGCCTTTTGGTTCATCGCCCATCTTTGATCCAAGCCATCTGGCTATCCCAGTTCCATTTCAGTTTCCTGATCAAGATCACATTTTCACCCGTTCGCCTTCGTATACTTACAAAGTGTGTCAGGGTCACGACCGATAGCTATGCGGTTAGTATTTGAGGCCGTTTTCTGACCATTCCTGGGTTCTTGTAGATGTTATGGAGAATCTGGTCTATCGGTAGTGGATCCTTCTTTCCTGAGCCCGTATTCTCGTAACTGGGGAACAGCGTTCTCTAGAGAACGATTGCTCTGTCTTTGTCAGTATTATGGAAGTAACAATATGGGCGACTACGACAGAGCAATCGTTCTCTTGAGAACACTGTTTTCCGCCTACGAGAATACGGGCCCTGGATAGCTCCCATAACTGCAGTCAGGGTCCTCATTCTCCAAACCGGGGAACAGCGTTCTCATGAGAACGAAGATTCTGTCTCAGTCTCCCATATATTCATATTCCCATAACACTGACAAAGACAGAACCTTCGTTCTCATGAGAACGCTGTTTCCCGGTTTCTAGAGTAGGGACCCAGTTCAATTGTATCGTAGGCCGAAAATCCACGAATGACATTACCAGAGGTTTGCTGTATTCGATCTTCTTCTCAATTGAGACTTACGCATGGTTGGAAGCTGATCAATGAAAATCACCTCCGGAATCTAGCTTGCAGGTTGGGAAAAGTCATATATCGTCGGATAATAATCACTCTGATAAAGTTTATAGAGATGGCTTAAAAGGCTCATGGGTCGGTATTTCGAAACAGATATTGGAAAGCAAGACTGGAGAGGAATTTGAGTTTTTAGAGAAAACTAGAAAACGCTGTCCTGTTATTTTTATTACATCCCCGACCACATGACCTACACCTAGTGTTTTTTTGTGTTGGTTTCCTTCAGGGGCCGAATATATTTCTTCCACGGTAATGTCGGGCAGTTCCTTCGATGCCCGATTTCTGGACGTCAAAAACTATTGATCTTGTTTTGTTTCAGTCTAGATGACCTTGCGCCAACTCTTTTATTAGTTTAGATAAAGGTAATGGAACTCCTCCACAATGCGCAGTTATGTTGTTCACCATGGTCTGTCTGTTCAATTTCAGTTTTTTTTTTTGTGAAATTTCTCTCTCTTTCTCTTCTTATTGTTGAACTGTGGCAGATTCTGCACTTCTCCCATTTATTTGCTCTTGCATTTGGGCACTGGTTTCTTCGCTGATCCTTGTATTTTTCTTGGGTCTTGGGCAGTATCGATTTTGATGTTGCGTTCATACTCTTAATAACTTGAATGGCTTCTGTTTCCATTTTCAATATGTTACAGGAGTAGGAGTATTAGGTCAGTCAAGAAGCAAACAGGCAAGGAAAATGCAAAAGACTTTAGAACACGCTCAAGAATAATGAACATTATTAGAGTGATTAAGATTATTTCTCCAGCCAGGAATATAGTAGGTAATACCCAATATTTATAGCTAAACTTTACTATCCACTCAACAACCTTCAATAATATATCAGTATTTAAATCATTGCTACCTATTCGACACATATGTCTTGTTAAATGGTGAATATTGATTTTTAATTCAGCCTCTTTTCTTGAGCGTTGCCCATTTTTATTAAATGGATTACAAAATAAAAATGCTTAATAGTTGTATTAAAAAATAAATACCTATTAAATTTATATGTTCCTTAAAATAGTAACGCTTTGGGGAATAGCGTGAGTTTTGTCAGGAACCTTAGGTGGATGATTATGACTGGAATTAATTTTAACAGTTTTTCCATAAGTAATTATTCTAGATTTGCATTTGATTTTATGATATTGCGAGCAAAGCCACATAGTCTTTCTGGATGCGTGGTCTTTCCTGTTTATCAGGTATTCATAGTCGTCAACGATCAGTTTTGGATTTTTTACTCCAGCAACTACGTAGATTATCCCTGAAAAATATTTTTAAATAAAGCAATATGTATATAGGGTATTCCGTAAGAGGACATAAGAACATATTAGAAGTGGATTCCTGAGGTAAATTTAAGACAAAAACATTTCCGATCCGCTGGCAGGACCTAAAACTCAATATTATACTATTTCCACTGGATGCTAGAACGTTGAAACTCTTCAATAAAAAATAATTGTTGATGGTAAAGATAAAATAAACCAATTGGCATTGTCAGGTGTGTGTCGTGTTCATGTTAATACTCATTTTGAAATATGATTCAAATTGATTGCTCCTTTGATTGCCAAAATGAATGTTTTCTTTAACCGTCAGATACCCTGACGGAGCGAAAATCAAAGTATTTTAATTGTCGCTGCCATAGTAGGATCATACCATGCAATACACACCACAATGTGCTTTTATTGGAGAACTTGATATGTTTGTAGCTTAATTTTTAATATCTAAAAAAGGGGAAGTTCGAAAAAAAATTACCGTGTTTCATTTGGAGTAAAAGCTACTTCAACTTCTTATAAAACAATTTACTGTTCGAAGATCCAGGATTTGTCTGGGATGAAGTACATTCATCATAGATCGAAAGAAAAGTCCTTTAGTCTTCACAATTTATGTATTGGGTAGACTAAAGGCCTAATTTCAACGCTATGTATAGTCCCTTCCAAATCATCCTCACCAGCATTAGGCAAGGCGACCTACCTGCTTTACACGTAGTATATATGTGGAATTGTGAGATGGGCAGTGTTCATTGTTGCAGTGAAAACGGAATACCGCACCGGCAATTTAATGAGGTTCCAAACGACACTCAATGACAGCACCCTCAACGTGGTTTCAGAGATGATGGCTACTACAGAGAACCAGATGGAGCTTTATAGAGTCCATCTCTGAATGGGATCGGAATCCATCCGACTGAAAACAGATAAGCGCTGATTTACAGATGGATGAAAAATACGTGAGAGTTGGAATATTATGAAGGCGGGCGCCGAACAAGCTTCAAAGCTAGTCCAGGCAAATATGCAACAATATTTCAAGCAGAGGTTCACGCAATTTAACTTTGTGCTTGGCGTGTGGACGAGAAACACCTCAGGAATTAAAACTTTCTCACATAGTCAAGCAGCGACTGAATCCCACCGATTCTCATCCAAATAGGTTTGGAACTGTCATAATGCCCTAAATGTCCTGCCAGGAAGTAACAGAGGTTTGGATCCCAGGGCACTCTAAACATGAATCGAAACGAAGTTGCATCGCAAAAGCTACAATATCTAACTGCCAGCATAATCATGCATAACTAGAATAATTTGCCAAGACTGGAAGATTCAAAGGCATTCATTTGTGATTATTCGACGTCAAGAGCAAATGGACCATGATGAACCATAAGGTTTCTAGACTGGCCATGGCTGGCTAAACGCACAGCGATGAGAGCTGACTCTGTATGGAAGATGAAGAGAAACATATTATTTGCAACTGCCCAGCCATCGCAAGAACCAGATAGTTATAAAGTATTCGGAGAAATCCAAATTCGACCAGCAGACTCCTTTTCACTTTATAATCCAGCTTTAATTCTCAGTGCTCCTTAGAATGTCCCTATCTATATTTTCTCAGCATCACAGATCATAAAAGAATTATTTTTCAAATTTAAATCGATTATCAGTGTTGAAGGGTTGAAGGGTTGAAGAAAATTTGAGTTTTTGAGCAACAATTTGTTACTTTTTGCTTAATTTCTTATTTTGAATATTAAATTAACCAGATACGCCATTTGGTTATTTACACTTTTATTTGTGCACATATATATAATTTGATCAGTAAATTTACAACGACTTGCTCTAACTTACCAATTATTATATTACAATGGTCTGGTAGGAATTTGTGGGATGTCAAAATAATTTTCTTCTCTTTGAAATTTTTGGTTCAAATTTTAAAACGAGTGAGGATGATTCAAGATTTTTAGATTTTTTAAAAATTTTCTCCTTTGTTTTCAGCCTTATTATGATGCAGAAACTCCACTTTTTGACTTGTAGGAAATAAATGTTTTCTACGAGCGGGTGCAAAGTAGGTACCTTGAGCACTTATTCGTATGTGCAAAGTAACCCATTCTCGCCCTCATTTCTATTTGTTAAATCAATTGATACTAGTTTGTCACTATTTCACTATATCTGTTTTATGTAAAAGTTAAAACATAAAGTTTGTTTCGCCAGGGTTTGTACTTGCCACCAGCATTTATCTTCCTTGTTTAACAAATAAAAATTGACTGAAACAAATCAATGATGTCAAAAACGTTCGTCGGTTCTTAAACCAGAAGTCATTCCTTTTAATTTGTCAAAAAAATTGAATCTGTCATATTAATTAATCTACGACAACCCTTTTTTTTCAAGTTTCAAGGTCAAGTATGAACCCTGGTGAAACGGACCTTACATATTTTAAGTTGGGAGCCACCGAAGAAAAAATACTGTTCCTAGCACATGCGCAAAGTCTCTTTTCCGCCCTTAAAGCTGATCCGAATTCCGCATGGGGTCGTTCTCCAACTGCTGGAAATTCTATTTTCAGTTCTTCTACTTACCTATCCAATCAGGCACTAGCTGACGTCACACACACACAACCTCACTTTCGATGGGGAGGATAAACAAAGCATCTGAGGACTATTTAGACACACCAGTTAGGCGCTAGCTCTGTGCTATTACGTCACTCTCGATAAGGGGACAAATAAATGTAAATATCGTTTGTTTGTTCCAATGACATGTTTGTCCCTCTATTAAAACTGACTTTCTCTTCGAACATTAAATAATAGATTCATTCTTGCTCGGTATTAAACTGATTAATAATACGAATTCTACACGCCCCGAGGATTCCAAACCGGAATCCACAGCCTATCGACCAATCACATTCTCCGTATTTTCGGAATACACGGGCCGTAACGAGACAATACAAACAAAACATGAGACACGTCTACTGTCAGATCACGAAACTTTCGTTTTTAAAAAATAAGGACTTTTGATGATTGTTATTTCTTACAAAAACTAATGATTTTCTTTCAAGAAGTTCGAAGAGAAAGTATAGTCTTCTACTCGCAAATAATGGCTATTATTCACTCGAATGATTCCAACACTCGTTGAAGAATATACTATCATGTGATTTGTGACATGATAGCTACTGCCTAACTGATGTGTGTGAATAAATAGTCCTTAACACGTTCTCTGCCAACGTGTTTTGAAGGATCCGACGCGGCATGATAAAAACAGGACACGTTTCGGTTATATTGATCGACCCGGCAGAGAACGTGTTAAACGCTTTGTTTGTCCCCCCCATCGAAAGTGAGGTTATGTGTGTCACGTCAGCTAGTGCCTTATTATGCCAATTTCAGTTTTAGTGAAAAAGCCCATTACAGCGAACAATTTTATATTTTGGGCCAATCAGAGCCGCTTTCCAGTATGCACATTGGCGCGCTCTGGCGCGCTCCAGAGCACCTCGGGGGCGCCACGCACTAGATTTGTACCGTTCCAGTATCATGACGTGAGACGCCTGTCTTAGTGTCAAATATGTCAAATTTTAAAAATAATTATGTTTCTTTGTGCAGTTTGTTTTTTTATTTATCATAAATGAAAGAGAATAAAAACTATATTTTTTAAAATGTTCAATCTTGAGATATAACAAGAAATAAATAAATAAATAGCCACACACGGATGTCACAGCTGACAGGTTGACGCGTACGTACAGCTCGGGGGCTCAACGCTCCGAGTAGCTCCGGGCGTCAAACTCCCATACTGGAAAGCGGCTCAGGAGGCTCGCATTTTTTTTGCAAAAAAAAAATATAATCGTAGGTAATACCATAAGAGCTCAGATTTAGCCGGATATTTTTTGGCTTGGTCTCGAATACTTACTTTTAGGAAATTTAACGAGAGCTGTTCCGACAAAATCACGAGAGCGCAGCTCGAGTGATTTTGTGGAACAGATCGAGATAAATTGCATGAAAGTAAGTATGAGAGAGCAAGCAAAAAAATATCCTGCTCAAAATCTGAGCTCGAATGGTATTTAGTACGGCAATTCCACGAATGCATAATCAAAATAAAATATGGAAATACTTTTTGAAATGAACAGTTATTGAAGGTACAATTAGAATAAATATTTTGCCCCTTAAAATTTGACTCTACAGAAAGAGAAGAAGACTCTGTGTTCTCAGGAATTTAATTTTCTATTTCGCTATTAATTCATCTTTAATTGTCCCAAATCGCTGCATGTTGAAAATATTTTTAATTTTATTTAAAAATACACTGTTAATAAGCTTAAATGATAGAACTTTTGAATTTTTGTGACAATTATTTGACAGATGATTCAAAAACCAATTTTATATGCAATTGTTACTACGGTAACGGTTGCATCAACAGAAAATTTATCCGATTTTTTTATCCAGTTATATTTTCTCTTCCTTCCTATTTATCCGCTAGCAAACTACGATTTTTGACATTTCAAATGGGATTATTTATACATGAGTGGAATTGTCGGAATTATTTATTGCACAAGTTCATCAAAATTACCGAGAATTTTGCATGACAGCGTGTTGTGAGTGCTCCATCTTCGATGTCAGGCTTTTTCTCCCACACATAATATGGAAATGACCTAATGTAGTTTTTCTTTGACAACACGCTCGAATGCAAAATTATCTCGTTATTTTGATGTACGTGTGTAATTCGGATGAATATTTCTCGTGTAAGGACATTCTGATATATATTTTATTTTATAAATATCTGGTACTCTTACTCTACGCTATTCTGCCTACGAATATTGAATGCCCAGCTCGTTATTTTCGTCAAAACATTGACTTGTGCTTTTTGGTTCGCTTTCCATAACATTTTTGTCTCCAACTCCAACAATAAATCACATTCGAAGCGATGTTTTTTTAATTTTTTTTTTTTTTGACTTCACTTGTCAAACTGACATTATTTATAAATTGCAACTGCGATATAGTTGTATTCCTTTCACACCTAGGAGGAACTCCGGAACAGCTCCGGGGCTTCACGCGCTTATTCCTTTCGGAAAGTGTTTGTTGCACCACGCATCTGTTCTCTGCAAATCGGGGGCTACTAAACACCGGAGCGAGTAGCTCGAGTGTTTCAAACTCTTGAAAGGAATACAACTATTTGTGTTAGTGTACAAATACAGTGCAAGCAGGTTTCCGCTTACTGTTAACCAGCGTCGACTCGTGCTTATAAGCGCGAAAAATGAATGCATGTTTCTAAATCGGCTAGAACACAGTAAAGGCGGAAACCCACTAGCAACACGCCACGCCATTCTATACCACGCGACGCCATGTGACGAAAATGTATGCGTATATTCTTCCATTCATTTACATGTGCCGCGTACACACTTGCTACACGCGATACCACGACATAACACGTCCCGTCACCTATGTCACATGGCATGGGGTAGCGTAGCATGGCGTGGCGTGTTGCTAGTGGGTTTCGGCCTTAAAAAGCAGGTACTCTACCTGTTTGTTACTGTGTACTAGCCGATTTGAAAACATACATTCATTTTTCACGCTTATAAGCGCGAGTCGGCGCAGGTTACTGGTAAGCGGAAGTGCTTGCACTGTGTTTGTACACTAAAGCGGCGTTTCCACATGCATAGTTTATTGGCGCTAGTCGACTGGCGTAACTTTTCTGGCACGTGGAAACGCAGAAAATTAACTGGCACCAGTTAACTGTCGCCACTTTTTCATGCGCCAGTAAAGTAGAATGGAGGTCTACTTTTTGGCGCCAGTTTGCCATGTGTGACAGTTTGTCAAAAAAAATACAAACGTTTTCACTAGTGGTTCCCAAAAAATTGAACATATTAAGTTCATGGAAGAGCATCCCTGTTTGTGGAATCACAAACTTTTGTGCTACAAAGACAGGAAAAACCGCATGATGCTATAAGGATAAGTGTTGACGTATTGTGCGGGTTCTCGCGTTCTTAAGTGGCTTTGATATCACTGCTGCTAAAAGCAAAATAAGAAGCTTTGAAAATTCTTCATGGTCTTCAACCGCTAACTCAGACAGTAAATTATTTGATGCTCCTAGAGCTTTTCTGTGTGAAATCCATCTTGTGTTTATGTCTCTTCTTCTTGTTTTTTCGGGTCTTCTGAAATAATTCTAGAAACAAAATATCCACAGCAACATTAATACCTGCTTGAACCATTTTCAATTTTTCTACTGCGCCAGTTAAAAGTTTTTGATATCAAGTGGAAACAGATACTGGCGCCACTATTATTACGCCAACAAACTGGCACGTGCACTAGCGCCAATAAACTATGCGTGTGGAAACGCCGCTCGAGGGTTCATACTTTTGTTATTGAACACGTCATAACTTGAAAAAAAAGGCTGGTCGTAGATCAATTCATATGACACATTCAATTTTTTTGACAAATTAAAATGAATGACTTGTGATACATATAAGGGAATCGGAACTCTTTTTCAACCGGGTAAGCTTGTTTGCTGCTCATCCTAATGTCCAATCAATAGGTAATGAATTAAGCTTGATTGATTTTTACCTTACTAGCTTTCCAAGGAAACCAGTGGTACTTGGTTTTACAGAGCATTGGAATTCCGAGGATCAATTTGAAGTTTTTAATGTTGACGAGCATATCCGGGTTGAAGCTTTTTTTAGCATGGAAGCTCCGCGATTTTCGTATGTGGTGGCATGTCCAAACATGTAGAGGCTGAGAGCCAAATACATTTGAGGAACATGAAGGTTTTTTTTCTATTTTGATTTTCAAATGGCACATCTTGTAGGTATATTTTTTGTTTTCCGGATTCTACAGATCGTTTCACGTCAATGCACCACTTTTAATTCGAGTTTCGACCAAATTTTATTTTTCAATTAAATTTAAATGTTTCAGCAAAAGTACCATAAGCACTCTACATGCTTTACTTACTTTCAGAAAAATACAAATTCAATTTTATCTTTGTGAAAATTTTTGATGCTCAATTTAAACTATAGGTAATCAAAAGTCATAAATTATTAAAATCAACTTTATAAAATTGGAAATATTAGATATTAATTTTATTTATTTATAAAATATTTTATTGTTTCCTCAATAAAATTATAATGATCAATTTTTTGGGTTGTAGGACAAGGATCGTGGAAGAATGAAAACTATTTCATTTCGTCAACGTTTCAACTTCAATCCAGTCGTTTTCAAGCCCTGAAAAAAGACACAGTGAGTTGGCGCCGAATAGCAATACAAAAGTCAATCAAAATTAAACCAAAATCAACACTCACTCAACAATTTTTTGTTTTCTTGATCCACTCAACATCAGTGCAGCCAGATCAGTTTGAAGAAAATATAGAGAGAAACCTAGAAATTATGTATTTAGGAGAGTCGCTGAATTATATTACCAGCGTTTGGTTCATGCAATTTAACCCTTAATTTTACTGAATTCTGGATTTTAAATTTAAATTAGACACATGTCATATAAATATAAATAAGGAACCGCTGGTAAAGTCAGGTTATATATTTTCGCATCGGTAACTATGAGTACGTTCGAAGACTGTGTTGTAGAGTAGAGTGGTCGAAGAAAACAATCTTCAGGATCCAGATATCTTGTCAATAATAAAAAACAAATTAAATACAAAAATTAAATAGCAAAAGTTGAATATAAATTAAATATAAAAAATTAAATATAAAAAAAAAACAATAGTAAAAATTAAACATTAGCAAATTACAAAACCACACATTAAAATTAAGTCAAAACCAATTAACACCAAAGTCAGAAGTCAACAATAACATTTGTAAGGACTACATATTAACATCTATCTAAGATACTTGGTTATTTTGCCTGTATGATTTCAATAAGTTACTGTATACACTACTTAAACCATCCGTGTCATTTTTAATATTCACTGTATCTCTCATACTTATGTGGATCATCTCGCTCAGTTTTCTTTCGTAACCATTAATCTCTGCATCCACAATCCTGACATCCCCGAACCTAAACTTGTGGCCATTCTCAAAATGGTGCTTAGCCAGTGCAGTTTTATCCTCAGTATATTGTCTCTCATTTCGGCAGTCGTATTTGTGTTGTTTAATTCTTTTTTCGAGGTATTGCTCAGTTTCTTCCATATATATTTTATTGCATTCATATAGAATTGTGTGAACTAGTGAACTTTTTTTAATCCTGAGGTACCTGATCTTTCAGTTTAGTTTAGAGGAACGCTGTTGTTTTTAAATTGTTGATGATTGTTTTGAAGAAGCTTGCTCACCTTATTCATATTCACCTTAATTTTATCAATAGAAATATCACTAAATTGCTGTCCAAAAAAGAGAAAGTGGGTGAACAGGAAATATCTTTCAAATTCCCCTTCATTGATGGGCTTTCCCAGAAAATAGCAAGATGCATCCAAAACTCTGATGTTTCCCTAGCCTTCTATAATCTAAAAACAACAGTGTTTCTCTAGACTAAACTAAAAGACCAGGAACCTCAAGATAAAAAATAGTTTACACAATTCCATGTAAATGCAATAAAATATATGTGGGAGAAACTAAGCAATACCTCGAAAAAAGAATTAAACAACACAAATAAGACTGTCGAAGTGAGAGTATATATATTGAGAATAAACTGCACTGGCCAAGCCCCATTTCAAGAATGGCTACAAGTTCAGGTTCGGGGATGTCAGGATTGTGGATGCAGAGATTAATGCTTACAAAAGAAAAGTGAGTGAGATGATTCACATAAGTATGAGAGATACAGTAAATATTAAAACTGACACGGATGGATTGAGTAGTGTATACAGTAACTTATTGAAATCATACAGGCAGAATAAACAAGTATCTTAGATAGATGTTAATATGTAGTCGCTTTCGTGGCTCAAGGCCAAAAAAAAAAAATATATATATATTTTTTTTTTTTTTTAATTTAATTTGTTTTTTAATATTGACAAGATGTCTGGATCCTGAGGAATGTTTTCTTGGACCACTCCACTCTACAACACGCTCCTCAAAGGAACTTTTAGTTATTAATGGGAAAATACATAACCTGACTTTACCAGCGGTTCCTTATTTATATTTATATGACATGTGTCTAACTTTAATTTAACCCAATATTCAGTACAATTAAGGGTTGAATTGCATGAACCAAACGCTCGTTATATAATTGAGCGACTCTCCTAAATACATAACTTCTTGGTTTGTTTTCATATTTTCTTCAAACTGATCTGGCTGCACAGATGTTTAGTGGATCAAGAAAACAAAAAATTGTTGAGTGAGTGTTGATTTTGGTTTAATTTTGATTGACTTTTGTGATGCCATTCGGTGCCAACTCTCTGTGTCTTAAGGGCTTGAAAAAGACTAGAATGAAGTCGGAACGTTGCCGAAATGAAATAATTTTCTTCGATACTGTACTTAAGTTGGAAGTCAGTGCATATAGGAGATTTTTTGTATAAACTCAAGTAAAAGCGATAAGTGATTAGTGAATATTGGAAAGTAAAATTAGATTAATGAAAATTGTGATTGTCAGACGAGTAAGTTTTAGTGGACCTGCAGAATCCTTGGATATTCTTCATAAGGTCTGTTCCCACAGAAGTCTCTGATAGTTTGCAAACTGTCAGTAACCATCGCCCATACATGTTTTCGATGCTGTCGTTACAAGGATAAATCTGTAACTCAGCTGAGCGATTGTTTCTGACAGGTTTCAAACTGTCAGAGACTCCTGTGGGAACAGACCTATAATAAGCATGTAAGTTTTGACAATATCTATCAAAATTCGCATTTTTCCAAAATCATCCTCACAAGAGTTACTTAGTCAGGATACATCGGTCAGAACCGATTTTTTCGAGAAATTATCAATATTTCGACATCACTCAAAGTCTACCAGAATTCAACAGGCATAAAATAATGGAAAATAAATATATTAAATGTCAACAAAAACTATTTTACTCTTTTAATACTCTAACTGTTTTTTGTAACGCCTCCCATAGTTATAGTTCTGAGTTCTTCTAATCGTAACAGATTGAACTAAAAAATTCTCATTAATCCGAGGGTTAATAGGCGGATGGTTATGATTTCGATTAATATTAACGTTTCTAGCAAAAGTTACGAGAGTGGCTGTGCATTTACATTTAAAATACTGAGTGCATCTCCAACGGGTTCTGTTTCCTTGGCTTGTATTTATTGTAAATTCGTTGTTGTCGACGATTATTTTAGGATTTTTTGTACCCGCGCCAATGTAAATAACACCTAGAAGTATAAATAATAAATGTTACAAAAAGTAGTTGAGAAATTGAATAATAAGGGAATAAAACAGCCGATGAAGTTTCCTTATTATTTATTCTTAAACCAAGTAATCTCAAAAGTTAAAATAATACTTATTGATGTTGTAAAAGGACATCATACTAAAAAAATACTTAAAAGAAGCTGATATATTCTAGTAAAAACAGAATGCGAAATTCGAAGAAAGAAAATAAGGTGATATTGTATTTAGTAGGTTGATATAATATGCTTAGCTTTCAGATATTAGATTGGATGGCAAGAAGTATGTAGGTAATGAGGACTTGAACGAAAATTGATACAAATATTATATTATTCAAGAGAGAGTTTTTGAGTGGGCCTAATAAAAATTGGTTTAAATTTTTTTTATAAAAATTACGTATTTGGGAAAACCTTACAAATAAAATAAACCTATAACTACATTATGTTCTTATTCTAACAAATCTATAAATAATTGGGAATGTCATGAAACCAATGCCCTAAATATTAATACAGAGTATTTTGTCAGATAGATAATAACAATAACCTACGAGATTTTGGATACTACACTACCAAAGTTAACTAAACCATTAGACCCTAAAAATTACCATTCAATTTTCGTGTTTAAGATTCATTAATTAATTAATGCAAATTTTATGTTAACTTTATTGGCGATTAGTCCTAAAATAGTAATTATAATTATAAGATCCCTGTTGCTTTTGATGTTTTACATAAAACTTCTTGCAACGTAACCCTTCCAAAGCAATAACGGGCGGATCGTGGTTGTGGTTCTCCCGAATCCAAATCTCTTGTCCGTGGGATGTTAAGGCGGCTCTACAAAATGTTTTCCTGTCCGAAACGCAACTCCAATAAGTTTTCCTATCCGATTTATTTTTCATTCCAAATATGTAGTTTCTCACGATCAGTTGTGGTTGGCGGAGTCCGATTTTAAAGTAGACTAGTTCTAAAAAGGTATAAAGTTAGTTCATTGCAAAATAGAATATAGAATTATTACTAAAATCTACTAAATTTTGAATCAAAAGTGACTTATTTCTATTATAATATCTACTGTTACTGTTGAAAAAAACTTAAATTAGGACCTATATAACTAGGATTCCAATCAATCTGGAAAATAGGATCCATGTCAGAGTTTATATTAATATTGAACAAAATATATGACATTATAGGGTTTTAAAGTAGTAGAAATATTTACTATTTAAAAATTTCCAATAATTCATGTTCCAGACACAAGGGTACTTCTTCAACCTTTAATAATTTTTTTTTTTGAAATACTGCAAAAAAGTAGGTATTTTTTTTAAATAAATTTACTTCAAACTTTCAATTCCAGTAATGTACAAGTTCAAAGATAAAGAGAAAAAAGTACAATATTTTTTTTATCATCAAACTCCGACGATTCTAAATCTCATAATAACACTTGAAGCTGCAGATCTTGTTGAAAATTCTTGATTTGAAGTAGTTTCTCAGATGTCCATTTGAATTCAAAATTTTCCATAAACAAACTTATTTTTGACCTTTTAACAGTAGAATCTCTTAGACTTTAGTATAACATAAAGCAGGGTATAACTCTAAAAAATGCCAATTAGAGCTCCAACCCAAAGAAGCAATAAAACTTCACAAAACCTAAGGAATTATTTCAATAATATTCACACTTAATCCAAAAGTAAAAAATTAATAGCATTATATGTAACGAAAACACAAAGTAGTGAATAAGAGGGAATATATGCGATTAGAATGAGAAGTTATATCTAGGACCCTTTAAATCTAACAAATCTTACTGATAAAATAAATTACGGAATGTTACCTGGGCTTTTTCTACTCCTTCCGGAATTGTCGTTTTCAGTATCACCATCCTTCTTGCTTTATAGCTTCAAAGTTGCACGAAACATTATTTTTCAGACCACGAAAAGTCACCATCAAAGTACCACTGTTTAAAAAATACAGCACGGCGAATACCGAAGCTCTCTGAAATAATCAGACCACCTGGTCATGAAGGGTGAGAAATATCTCCCGCCAGAAGACCCTCCACTAACCCGACACCCTTTCTAGGGGGCCACCTCACTGGGTATGATTCTATCGGTTTTTATTTTGAGCCTCCAGCCGTCACTACACATGGCGGCAAATTATCAAATACGTCTAATAAATTTTGAGCTTGAAATAAATTGAAAGTAATAACAAAGTCCTAATAATGCCTGTATTAGGTACCTATAACAAACTTTTTAAGGTAAACAGGAAACGCGGATTTTCAATATTGAAACATTGATTGTAATTTATTGAAAAAGAACTATCGGAATGTCAAATATTTTCAAAATAGAATACATAAAAAGATGCAACTTTTCCAAAAATCATAAGAAACAGGGTATTCCATTTAAAACACACATCCATGGCGTAACTTGTTTTTGGCTCAAATGTTTTTTTTTTTTAATTTCTTTGATACATGAGTAATGCATGAGGATTTTGTCAAAATATAGGGAAAGTCAAAAATAAGCCCCTATTCGTACTTATTGGAACAATGCTTAAATGAACAACGTGTTCCGATCTAATCCTGAATCGGTACTTAATGTGGCTCTGTGAAGTAGGCAGGCACACATGAAGCACAAAAGAAGTTAAATTTTACGTAATCGTTTTGCTCTTCGTTAGTGCTCCAATGTGGTTTAATCCCCAAATTAGCAACCCTTGAATTTTCAGAGATTGACTGATGCTTACTTCACACCCAGCAGGAACAAGGAAAGCACCAACGTTCATCTACAGATAAATGGTTAGTGCTTCAATGTGCTTCAATCCCCAAATTAGCAACCCTTGTATTTTCGAAGATGTTTCGGTTTTTTGAAATCGCCTGCTTACTTCACACCCAACAGAAA